TGAGAGCTCCAGGAACAGTATTTCTTGATTTTCTTGTTTGGGCCAAGAAAACATTTCAAACAGAGATAACCAACACACTCGATGCTATATTAAAACACTGTGGCCTTTCTGGGAAAATCGATTTACCATATGTTTCCACTAAAAATTCTACTGATTTACGTTGTATGTTTGTTTATGCAAATGCAATAAGGTTTAAAAAGAACAAACAAATACTGGATAGATTATCCGAACAGCTATCAAAAATGATCAACATTCCTATTTCCTTTTGTCTATTAGCATTTTATGTTCCCGATTCGGTTTTAGAAGATTATGCTATTGAGTTAGCGTATTATTATTCGGTGGATACTTTATGATTACATGAATTAAATATTAAAAGAAACATAATAGGAGATTACATTCAATGAGCGACCATATCATGCGTAACTATCTCAAATGTTTTCACCAACAGAGTCAGTTGTTTGGTGTGAAATTTAGTTTGTAGATATGCAGCATCAAAAAAAATATTAGTATCTTCTCACCGTAAAGGAACGGTCAACCAAGGAAAATATGCAGGAGCTTTAGTTATTCCTCCTAATAAAAACATCAAAAGACCTGTTGCAGATATTGATTTTGCATCATATTATCCCAATTTCATTGTTCAGAACAACATTTCATTAGAAACATGTATATCAAAAGAATCAACAGATTCATCATTAAATGTTATAATCGATAATGATATTGTATATGGTAAATTTGTTCCACATGATGGTGTTATCGAAAAGATGGGGATTATGCTTTTGATGTGTAAAGAATTATTAGAAAAAAGAGGAGAAGCAAAAAAAAATATCAAATTGTATCAATCTGACAACACAAAACTTCGTTATTTCACATCATTGTCTGAAGTGTTAAAAATATTCGCAAATTCTGTTTATGGAGAAACCGGGTATTGATTTTCACCTTTATACCGAGAGGAAGTCACGTCATCTATTACAGCATTTTGCCGAGTGACACTACGACTAATAATCAATTTTGTGCAAGAGCAAGGTTTCACAGTTGTTTATAGTGATACAGATTCGATATTCTATTCGTTAACAGAATCTTATTTCATTGAGTTGGACTCAAAATATTCTAATAGATTGTTAACCAAAAAAGAATATTGCGAAGAACAGATTAAGCTAACGATTCAACATTCTCAAATCCTCGAAACAAAATCAATGAATATTTACAAAAAATAATAAAATCTACATATCTTAAAATGGTGTATAAGAAAACATTATACCCTTTCTGATTTTTGGTAAAAAACATTATGTTGGAATAGAACACTCTTACGAACCTGATCTTGATAATTTAAAATTATTTTTGAGAGGCTAAAATTAGTTAAGCGAAATGTATTAGAGTTTTACAAAATTGTTAGTAAAGAGTTGATATATTCATCACTTGGATTTAATAAGGACTGTTCAATTAGAATTGAGGAGATAGATCAAAAGAAATTAGTCGAACAAATAATCACAGACTAAGTGAATAAGAAAAAGACAATGTTAGATTTATTTGTGCTTACAGCAAAATACAATCCTACCTATGTTTTTATTTCCGCGATAGACTATATAAAATTTTTGACAAAAAAAAATCCAAACCTATACTTAGACAAATATCAAAATCAACAACGAAAAAAGGAAATACAATGGTATTAAAATTTGTTGCAAGAATAAATAGTGTGATTGAACCTGTTCATTTTTTTTATTATATCAAAACAAAACAAAACAAATCAATTTCAGACAAAATGATTCTGGTTGAATATTTTGATCCCAAGAAGAATACCATTGATATTATTTACTATTTCAGCAGTTTACGTGATATCGTAGTGCATCTATTAGGTTGTGAAGAGAAACAAGCTTTAAAGAAAATCGAGGAAATATTTAATCTAGATAAATCTAAAAAACAACAAAGAATAACAGATTTTTTCACAACTAATTCAACAACGAAAAAGAGAGTAATTCTAAAAACAAACAAACGAAGAAAACTAAATTAAAATTTATACAACCTCAAATGATATATAAATGGTAAGCCCATTTCTTTATTAATTCAACAATGTTTTATAAATTATTTGAGAGTAATCTTATTAAAATACTAGATTATGTTGAAATAACAAAACTTTATACAAAAGAACAAAGATCATCTGTTATAATAAATTACCTATCACAAAATAATTTCGATGTAGAGAAATTCAACGAATTTTTAATAATGATAGAAAAATGTAATCGTTTAAAATATTCATCTAACATTTACAAATTAACAATTGATATTGACAAAGATATAGAAATGATAATAGTGACAGAAACTTTAAAACACAACAATATAATATTTATAAAAGAACATATCTTTTATTGTAATTATATTCATTCTTCTCTATTTAGTATTTATACCGAACAGAAACTTATCTTTGTAATTTAACAGGAATGCCTCATCAAAAATATACAAAGAAGAAACTTCTTTCATCTTATAAAAAAAATAAAAATAAAAATAAATTTAACGATGTGATATATGATGATATATTATATTTGATAATTTTATTTTTGATTCCTGATGATATAACCAAATCCTCCAAATTCAAATTCAATGATCGAAGATTTATTGGTTTTCAGCAAATCAAATTTGTGGATTCCCAATTTTATTGGGTTTTCAAACATTATTTTTCTCATTACGGAACTAAATATTATTTGATACAAAAATACGATCAACTCTACAAACCTCTGAATCGTTTTAAATAGAGGATTTGTTATTGTAAGAAAGATACTTTGATTGATATTGAAGACAAATACGTTAAACTCCGATCTTATGATGGAACACCATATTGTGTATTAGGTGGTGAGACTTTAATATTTTTTGAATCGAATAGATTTAACGAATATGGAAAAAAAAAAAGTGATATTTGTGAGGATTTTATGTATTGTGCTATGTGTCTTTACGATTTTCACAGAGACGATATATCTGAATCTAAAGAAAAATTAGAAAAAGTGATGATACCAGTGATTGACATTGGAAATTTTATATGTTATTATATAACTAATTGTATTAATTGTAGAGAAGATATTCTATCATCAAATCAAGATTTATATAAAACAAATTGCAAAAACTATTAAATGTTTTATAATAAATAAATATTTTAGTTAGAACAAATTCTGTTTAGTATTTACCAAACAGAAAAATATTTCATTGATCTATTATGGAATCGAAAAAGAATTTTATTTTTATTAATTACAATTATAACAACAAAAGAAAAATTAATCGAAAAAAACTTGATCCATATTTTATAAACAAAATTAGAACTAAAAACAATCAGAGATTCGTCTCTTTACCTGATGATATATTACATAATATTTTTTTTTTTAGCTCCTTCCAAACTCAAGCTCAATAATCTAGAAAATGGTGATTTTCGAAAACTTAAGTTCATTTGTTGCACATTTCGTTGTTTTTACAACTATTATATTAAACACTATGCGATCAAGTATTATCTTGTACCAAAACACATCACTCTTCACTCTATCAAAAAATACGAATGGAATGTACGATATTGCCCCAAGACTATTTGGGTTGACATTAAAATTGATGACAGGATTCACAGATATAAATTACAATCAATTTTTTTTAATAATATAACCAAAGATGGCGAAATTACCGATAATGAATTACATGTTGAACTAAGTCAATTACTAAACATCACAAAGATTTTAGTATTTATTGATTATCAAACATATCTAACATATGGGAAAACTATATGTGAAGCATGTTCTTTGTTCACATATTGTGAAAAATACGTTTACAGTTTCTTCCAGAACCTAGTTCGATCAATTTGTCAATCGCTTTTAGATATTTTAACGAAACCAACCAGTAGCGATTTTTATTCAGCGTACAAAATAAACCTTTGTGAGCAATGTGAAAAATATTTCACAAATTTGTTCATGTGCCAAGACTACAATGCTCTCTTAGATTTATAAACTTGAACTTGCTTCCATAAAAGTTTACAAAAAAACTTTGTTATGGAATTCCATAATTTATTCTTCAAATTAAAATATATATAAACTCTATTTTTCTTAAGAAACTAAAATGGTTTTTGAAATCAAGATCGGTTCAAACCTATCTTACTGTTTGATCAAACTTGCAAATGCTTTTTCACTTTGTTTATTCTTACTCTGTTTCACATTTATTATAATTTTTATTTCCAATAAACAACTTTCTAATCAGTCCACGACCGATTAGACTTTTCTTCACGCAATTTCTTTCAAGGCTTAAAAGGTGAGAGAGCTCCAAACTGTGTTTTGTTTAAGAATTCGCTTCTTTTACTTGATACTAACTCTCACTGGACTGACTATTTGTTGATCAATTGACCAACTGACCGATTTTATTTTTTTTTTAGATGCCAAAAACCAAACTAGGATATTATGCTGTACGAAAAGGACATAAAACAGGAATATATTTAACTTGGGATGAATGCAAAGTGCAAGTTAATAAATTTCGCAATGCTATGTATAAAAAATTCCCTACTTGTACCAAAGCTCAAAATTTTATTGAAGAAAAACGTGAAGTTTCTGTAATTTTAAATGATAGTAAAATTCAAATTTGGACAGATGGATCATCATTTAATAATGGTACAACAAGAGCTCAAGCAGATATTGGAGTATTTTGGAAGAATAATAATCCTAATAATTTAAGTAAAAGATTACCTAGATTGGAACAAACTAACAATTGCGCTGAAATTTATGCTGTGATTAGAGCCTTGAAGTTTGTAAAAATAAAACAAAACCTTTAGAAATAATGACAGATAGTAAATATGTAATTAATATAATTGAAGATTGGGTTGAAAAATGGGAAAAAAATGGATATATGAGTTATAATAATACACTGGTCAAAAATCAAGATTTAATCAAAAGGTTAAAAAAACTTATTGATAATAGAATAGATACTGTTCGATTGATTCATATTAGAGATCATTGGGGAAATTATAGTAATGAACAAGCTAATAGATTAGCTAAACTTGGATCATTACAAGAAGCGATAGAAGAAAATTTTAAATTAGAAACTTATTCTAAACATATTACCAATTATTTTAACAAAAAATAAATATTTATTAAAAAATTTGATATTTATAATTAAGATAAATAAAAGAATTTCGAAAATGAGATATTGATTAGAAACAATTTAACTTGTTTGAATTGTTTATCATCAAATCAAGGTGTTCGAAATTATTTTATACTCTCTATACTGAAAAGAAAGGGAGTGAGAGAGAGAAACTGATAGTCAGTCCAATTTTTGTTTGAGACGTTCATTACAACGATTTAAGGTGAGACAGGGTCGTAGCCGTATCATCAATATCAAAGACATCAATGATTCGGGAACCTTAAATCATTGTAAGAACAGAGCAAACTTTTTTACTAATAATTTGTATAGAAAATTCAAATAATTATTTCCAAAGTATTAATAACTAATCAGTGAAGTTAAATTGGCAAACATTAAATTTAAGAATAGTTATTCATTTGATTTGCGCAAATGTAATATCAAAATTTGTTAATTGGAAGTTCTAATATTTGTTAAATATTTTATTAATAAAATAAATCACTAAAATTATCATTTTGGTAAATTATTGTTGAATCATATAATATAGAAAAACTTTCAACGTTTTTATCTAAACTAATAATTTTTTCGGCATTCATATAATTTCTAATATTTGTTAAATTGTTTGTTTTAATTATAAATGAATAATTTTTAGATTCAACTTGCACTAGTATAATTTGTCGATTGAAGTTCCTTTTGTAACATAAATTTTTAATTTGTTTCTGTTTAACGTAAAATGAAAAATATAATTTTCGGCAGACTAGTAAATATAAAAATTTTCTTCCATTTTTTAAATTTAATTTAATTATAAAGACTTGTTTTTTATAGTTTTATAAAAACATTAATTTATTATAAACAAATATTTTATAAATAAAATAATAATAAAAAAAAAAAAAAAGGGTGTGGCGACTTAGTGAAGTGGTTAAGTTGTCGCACCCCTAAGCGATATGTTGGCCAGGTAGGGGTTCGAAACCTACTAGTGACGAATTTTGAATATTTTACTTGTATGACGGCTACTGTCTTTCAATGATCGGTTGGAACGGGATCTTTGTAACCTTGGTGGTACCAACAAGATTGGAAGATCATAGGGCATTTGTGTAATGTATGAGTTATACGAAATGTTCTGAATCGTGTTAATCCAAGGAATTGGAAAGATAGATACCCGCTTGGCAAGACCCGAGTAGAGAGGTAGCACAGATCTTCAATGGTGCTATGTAAAAGATTGCTACCGGAGAACTAGCA